CGGGCACTTCCTCATATACTGCACATGCATGACCATAAAGCACCTCCATATCTGCGACTGGAGTGTAAAACGTCTTACTGCTGAGCTAGCACCACCTCAGGCGTATCTGTGGCATCGTAAACATTGAAAGAAGCAATAATGGCGTCGTCTCTGCTGCCATCCACAGTATGGTTATATTTCCTGCCAGCATGGATATCGGACACCCACTATAATTTCAAAGTGAGGTAGAGGCAGCGTATAAAATGGACTGGAGAATCATTTGACATTCATCTGCGTGGTTAGATCACTTAGCGGACAGATAGTGTTAGTGACCCCCAAGGCTAATTCGACTGATCTGCCCTGGACAGCACACTGCAAATTAATGTGACAAACTAAATGGTGGTTTCCTAAAAAAAAAATAGAAAAAAGAAAATGACCCAATCAATGTTCAGTTGACAGCAGCCTGGTCTGACCTGGCTTCCCCCTCCCCTGCGCTTCCCCCCCTGAAGGCAGAGCGTGGTAAATCCAGTCCAATGCATGGGGCTTGAATAAATCTGCATTCAATTAACGGATTAGCCACTGTTTAAACATGGCTTCCTCTCTTCAGCGCTAATCTACCAAGTGGGTGTCTGCCGAGGACGCAATCACTACGGATTTGTGTTGGAAAGATACGCACAGATATCGAGAGTAAAGCCGAGATGTTTCCACTTGAGTGATTCGGAAAAGTGCATTTTGTGAAACGCTCTTTTGATTTTGGTTAAACTTTCTTCGGGGGATACAAGGGTGAGGCACTAAACTGTCTTTCCCAGGTTTCACTGTCTTTTGATCAGTTTTCTTTTGATCAGTTTTTCTCAGTCGCTTTGGTGCTTTTCTCACATCATTCTTCACATTCGCACAAGAGTTAGTTCATTTCTCAGAACAATTAGTGCAAACTGCAAAACCTCGTGGATAACCTGCAAAAGTGCATCACCTTCTCAAAATGAAAAGTTAATTCCTCAAAAGCAAGTCTTCATGTCAATGAAACTGTCTGTGTCGTCAAAATAATATGTCCTGACACCAGTGTTTATGAACAACAGTCAAATGACTTAGTCACATTTTCATTTTGCAAGTTTACTCTCTCTGTGTTTTCAATGTGAAAAAGTCAGATCTCGGTGACACTCAGTGAGCAGTATACACTGTACAGCCAAAAACTACAGTAGAGTTACACATGACTGTATTTAGATACGTAACTGAGTACAAGACACGTATCTATGTACTCTTTGTACTGTATGTATGTATGTGTGTACTGTATGTATGTATGTACTCTTTGTACTGTATGAATGTAAGTGTGTACTGTATGTATGTATGTACTCATGTACTCTTTGTACTGTATGTATGTATGTGTGTACTGTATGTATGTATGTACTCATGTACTCTTTGTACTGTATGTATGTATGTGTGTACTGTATGTATGTATGTACTCATGTACTCTTTGTACTGTATGTATGTATGTGTGTACTGTATGTATGTATGTGTGTACTGTATGTATGTATGGGTCTATGTACGTGTGTATGTATCACATATTTACTGCATATGCTCTTTGCAATTCTACAGTATTGTGCAACATAAATACAGTCACTTACAGTATTTACAGAAATATCATTATGGTAGAACTGTGACAAATGTAAACAATAAAACACACACCTCATTAGGGAAGCTGAAACTCACCTGAGAGAAATTCTTCAATTTAGGAAAGCTTTACAAGAAAAAAAAGATAAAGGAATGTATGAAACTAGCTTGACAGATTTGGATTTTGAGAACTAGTTCAACAATTGTGTATGTGATGACCAAAGCGATGAAATTAAGGACTATTGGTAATATAGGGAATGAGTATTCAGATGTCATAAGTAAGTCATAAGTTTCATTTTGACTGACAGGACAGAAGCAAATGATAATGTTATAAAACAGCAGAGAATTGTATTAAAGTAACTGATACATGAACAAAATCATTTGTAATCTGTTCGTAGGAATGAGAATGTGCACAAATGACTCAATGTTCTGGAGGTTGAACTAATAGTTATGAGAACTTTAAGTCTGATGTGAGAAATGCACCAAAGCGACTGAGAAAAACTGTAACAGAATGGGATCCTTTTATTTAATCATTGTTATATATTTTTTAACCAATTCATCCATAAATGTATTCTTAAAGGCACACCGTGTAACTCTTGGCCACTAGGGGCGCTAGACCTGCAACTTTCACGTTTAGCGCCCCTAGTGGCCACAAGCAACTCAGCACTGTCGCAAAAGTCAACAAACAGTCAGCCGGTGTCTTTTGAGTGTGTATTCAGACAGCATGCACTGGTGTGTGTGTTCAAACTGTAGAGACATGCCTACAGATATTGAGAGACTCTGCTGTGGTCAGCCTCCAGACCGCTGCATTAGTAATCTACCACACATGGACTTCTATATCCTGGATGAGGGAGTTCTGCGTCTAGCTCGTGCTGCGTGGAATGATATCTTTGCAGTCGATGACATCCAGGAACCAGGTGAAGAGCAGCGCTCATACAGACATGCAGCTTACAGCACGATCCCTTTCGCGTTTCCTCTTTTTAGCCTCCTCCGAAGGTTTAAAATTTTTCCTTGCCTCAGCCATGACCAGGAGTCGAGCAGGTGAAAAATGAGTAGCAAAAGCCTTAGCTCCATGAGTATATCAGCGCCTGTAGCCGTAAAGCAAGTCTTTCTTCCAAGTCACGTGACCTGGTGGCAGACGGTCCGTCTGCTCGAAACTTACATGGGCGGTATTTCAAGAGGGCAGCCCCGCTCGGAGCATTGCAAGTGTCAAGTGCTGTATATTGGCCCAAGTATTCATATAAAATAACTCATATGTGTCAACTCTTTAGGTCACAAAGTCCGCGGTGTGCCTTTAACAAGATTTTGCAGAATGTTATCATACATATTTATATCTGGAGAGACTCAACAGAGAAAAGGGATGTATTGGAAAGACGTTTTGTGGTTATACATAAGATTCCGCAAGTACAACTGCATGTATGTAGAAATTATATTTAATGCATATGATACACGTGTGTATAGCAATGCATACACATCAGAATTACCCCCCCCCCCCCATCTCCGTATATAATGGATCGGCACAGTAAGGTAAACACAAGTCTAGCAATATCATTGATAGCAATATCATTCAAATCTAATGAGCGGTGACAACAAACAGATGGCAAAAAACCCTAAACCCCCCCTGTCCATGTTTGTAGAGAACGACATTATAACATGACATAACTGCAAAATGATGCTAACTTGCTCAGTCTATGACGCTTGCAAAAATGACTTATGATAAAAGAAGTAGGTAAGAAAACAATGTGATACAGAACGCTGCATGAGAACAATTATGAAGACAATGTTTCAATCAGTGTTTGAAATGACAACTCAGACCAACATGTATTACTTTCAGTTTTGGCAAATCGAGATAATGGAGGGAAGTCCCTTCGGAGCCCAGACCCTGGTGGCGGTAGATCAGTAGAAGGGGCGACGAAGGTTTGGCTGATGGGGCGGTGATGGGGAGGAGGAGGGTTGCTGCACAATAGCAACCAGGTGAGGGTGGATTGGCAGTGCGGTGCTGCCAGCTGAGTGTGACTGACTGATTGTGGTTGCGTCACAGCAGGAGTGGAAGTGAGCAGTAAGCTTATGTACAAAGAGTTTCCAGTCTGAACTTCCACCTTTGATATGTCAACTTGTTGTCTTATTTAATAAAAGGTGAAGCCCTGAAACGTTATGAGAGATACTACTAAAATCAATAACAGGTTAGAAAACTGAGCTTGTGTAGCAATTCCGCTGTGGAAGGCAATGGCAATTTTCAGTAAGGTCTCGCTTGCTGATCTTTTCAATGTTTTTGTATCCACCATGTGAACAAAATGAACCAAGAAATTGAATTGTTGTGAATATATCTGAAAACACCATTCAATGCATCACTGCTTTCTGATCAATAATATAATTGTTATGTTAACCTTTATTTGAATTACACTCAACAAATGATAATGAATTCATGCAGCTTTACCTAGGAGACTGCATATCGTTTCCGTATGCATACATGAGTGGCAGTAATGCTTTGCTCAGTGCAGCGTGTTGAGTTTGCGGAGCCATAAATCATCTGGGGCTGCGGGATGTTGTAACACGAAGGAGTGAGGGCCGATGGCAATTAGTCTCACTGTCAGCAAAACACACAGGTTATAAAGAAGGACGTGGAGTCATTTTAGACCACTTCAAGGCCTCTGTGCTCATTATCCCTGCTCTGTGACACTTTTTCCCCTGTGTGGCCTCCATTTCATGCATTTTTAGACTGGTCTGCTCTTGTGATCATGTTACTTCAAGAATAATGATTACAGGAGACTGAAGGTTTTCCAAGGAAGATTATAGTTTCATTGAATACGATTAGGCATCAGCTGGAACATGCAAATTTACAGTTAGTTCACCCATCCAGCGAGATGAAGACTAATACTGGCCAGCAAAACAAAAACAGCAACGCAAATTCTTGATAATCATCTATACTGCAATGTTTCTTGATTTTCTTTCATATTTGTAATAATCAAATTCCCTCATCAAGTCATTTTGTACTCGTGAGTCACTGAGAAGAGAACCACACACACTCTCCCCTGAATGAGGCTCTGGTGTTAGTTTAACGAGTGCCTTGACGTCTTAAAAAATTCCCCACTGCGGGAAATTAAAAATAAGTAATTTATGATATATATACGTATATATATATGTAATACAGTGGTTCCAATAACAGCTATAATAGTCTTTTTACCATGTACAGTATATCATTTCCTAAATGTCTGTGTAATTTATCAGCTTTAGATGGGATTCTGGAGTGAGCACAGATAACATGAACATGTGCACATTTGTGTTTGTGTCTTTAAACTTCAGCAGCTCCACAGGTTTGCTGCTGGGCAGATCTGACACAAACGGATCGTTCTTTTTGCTCTGGTTCATTTCTTGTAGATAAACTGGTATTTCCATCAGCTGTTGGCCTCAAATCAGCCCATGCTGTGCCCACGTTGTCCGGGGGACACCTGCGTGATCATGTCTCTGCTCTTCTGGTTTCCGCTCTTCTGGTCTCTGCTCTTCTGGTATCTGCTCTTCTGGTCTCTGCTCTTCTGGTATCTGCTCTTCTGGTCTCTGCTCTTCTGGTATCTGCTCTTCTGGTCTCTGCTCTTCTGGTCTCTCCTCTTCTGGTCTCTGCTCTTCTGGTCTATGCTATTCTGGTCTCTGCTCTTCTGGTCTCTGCTCTTCTGGTCTATGCTCTTCTGGTCTCTGCTCTTCTGGTCTCTGCTCTTCTGGTCTCTCCTCTTCTGGTCTCTGCTCTTCTGGTCTATGCTCTTCTGGTCTGGACGGTGAATGCCACATGCACATTCAACATGGACAGACACATGATGTTGTCACACATGTCACACAGACTGACGGGCTGCAGGCTGTGTGTGACTCGCATACAAACACACAAATATATACAACATATAAACAAACAAACACACAAATATATACAACATATAAACAAACAAACACACAAACATATACAACATATAAACAAACAGACACACAGACATACAGTAGCGGTCTGCATGGCCCCCTCCTCCGCCCGCGTCACGCAGCACAATCCCACATCATGTACTTTGGCTGTCATACAGATGTCAGGCTGATGCCGCCGAGTGCACTGCAGAGTGAATGGCAGGGGAGCAGATGAATCCTAGCGTCTGCCAGAGTCACTGGACCTTTACACGCACACAGCCCCCTCGGAATTACACAGATAAGTGGCTTTCACAGCCTCATGCAGACGTGTGTGAAGGATGGGATAATGGGGGATATCACATGTCAACAGGAAGATGGAACAAACAAATACAAGCAGGTGATGTGTTAAGCTGCTGTTAGACAACAAAGGCGTGGAAAGGAAGGGGATACACACTTGTTTTTCTAGTCTTTAAAGTGAGTACATGGCTATACTTTTATTCTCTTTGTTCATTTCACTTACAAGTTCAATACTGAAAATACAAAATGGGCACAAGGGCCACACTCACACTTGTTTCCTGGTTCACTTTAACTGTGTTAAAATGTATTTGTGTTGGTAAAACCCTCAAGCACACAAACATGTGTTGACTAATCACTTGCAATCAAAATACAAAACTAGCATCAAACTTCACACATAACCTTTTCGGTCTTGGTATGAAATTGTTTTGATGACTAATGACTGCGGGAATAGAGATAAAAATAGAATTCCTGAACATGAACGCTGAGATGAACATAAAAGTTGTGATGTCAAGTTAAAGTGAACCAGATCCAATAAGTGGCATAACAACATGCCCTAAAGTTAGAAAGTCAAAAGTAAATAAGTCATATTTATTGATATAGCACTGTTCACCAACCAAGGTCACACAAAGCACTTTAAAATGTTTGATGCCGACCGCCTGGTGCATCACAGCCTCTGACCATCACTATCACATTCACTCTCTCATTCATTACTATTATACATGTTTTTAGTAGTTGGAGAAACCGGAGCACCAGGAGGAAACTTATGCAGACACGGGGAAAACATGCAAACTCCACACAGAAAGGCCAGGAGGAGGAACTAAATCCAGGACCTTCTTGCTATGAAGCAACATGTTCATCTTTTTCCTCACAGATACAATCTGGAACAGTCTTCCTGAAAATGTGAGACAGGCTTCATCTCTGAAAAATCCTGGTTAAAAACAGTTATTTGTAGCTGTGCATACAACAGAGGGATTTTATCTTCACTCTTTTTATGTAGAATGATTATTTATGATTTTAATGCCTTGTGTGACCATCTCTATCTTGTTTTGTTAAGCACTTTGAGATGCCTTGTGCTATACAAATAAACTTGCCTTGCTTTCACCTCTGTGTCACCGTGCTAGAAGCATCTGTAAGTACTCAGTAATATTTACTTCAGTAAGAAAAACCATCTTTTGCAGTCCACGCGCCAGCCTCCTCACTTATTTATGCTGCAAGTGCCGCCACAACCTCCCTGCTCATTTCCAGGGTATTTGCAAGCATCGCTCTCCAAAATCTCCTTTTCAAATCCCTCTAAATGATCGCTCTCGCACTGCCAGACAAATTAGTCTCGGATGGCGTGACGCAAACGCAAATAAGAACAGGGAAAATGCCAAAAGTCATGTTGAAGTGTAAAAGTGCTATAGCTGATAATGAGCACGATAGGAACAGCACCTTGTTGGCTGCTGGGGGATGTTGGCGCTAAGACAGGGGTCTGTAATAGGAGCTAATGAAGTGTGTCCCGTGGGAGGCAGAGGCTGAGAGGGGTCTGCGCTAGTGCTGCTGCTAGCAATGCCTGAGACAGAGGTGTAGCCACAACAATGTGTCCGACTTCCACACAGCCAGGCATGCGAGCCCCACCGGAGGAAGGCACCAATTAATTACTGACTGCTGTAGTTCAATGGCAATTAGCATGCTAGTGGTATCCACTTCACCCTGCTGCATCCAAGTGCTCTACTGCTATCGAGGTTCGGAATCAACACCAAAACCGTAAATAACATGGAATCCTGAAAACGTTCTAACGACTGGCTGTACACACACTTCATACTTAGGCATGTACTAAAAAAAATACTTTTTAATAAATATATTTTGAATTACATAAAGAAATAAAAAGTTATGTAGTAAAAACAATTTCCCCCTGTTTTTTATACATCAATATTTTTTGATTCAAACAGAAGCATGAGGAAAATATTTTTCAACAATCTATCTTCAATAAATAACAAATAACAACAATAATGTTGTATGTGGCATTTTGTGTGTCGGCATTTCTGCATCTCTTCACGGTTGGGACTGAGCACTAACTTTTATCTTTTTAAACATTGTCTGATATTAATTCAATATTATGTTGCCATTTTTCATTGACTTTGGATCTGTTGGTGACACCTCTCTCTGTAGAACTATATATAGCTTATGAAATTTCTTTGTTAAAATAAGGCCTGGCTCCTGACCCTCAGCATTTGGTTAGGAGCCAAAAGTTTTTATTTTTTACTGAATTGTATCAAATCTTTTAGAAATATATAGTTTAAAAGTGTATCATATTGAAAGAGCCCTGAATCTTCATAATATAATAATAATATACTGTAAGTACATAGCGCTTTTTGGACACTCAAAGATGCTTTACAAAACAATAAGAAGCATAAGACACAAAAAAAAAGCTAAAATAAACAGTTAAAGGTGGATTTTCTACTTCTGGGTGGAACATCAAGAATATTGGTCCGCCCAATTGACCAGAGAGTTTTGTTCAAAAAGTGGAGAGGGCCTTTCTTTCCTAATATTTGGGAAAAACCTCCTGTATACCTTTGAGTATCAGCAGTGGCCCATGTATTGAGGCACATATCATATCAGCAAACTCTAAAAGATACCCTATCTCTAATCATCTCTAATCATTATCACACCAAGCCAACTGGAAGCCAAACTGCGAAAATCATTTCTTGTTGTCTTGTTCCAAAGGCGTCCAACAAATATTTAATCAAGAATAATTACAGATAAACGAGTCAGGATCACTGCTTAAATCAAACCGATGAAAAGCTCCAAATGAATTCCTTGCATAATCACACACAGTCAATTACAGAGAAAAGCAAGAAGCCTTTTATATCCCAGTGGAACAAGGGGAGATGTATTATAGTGTGGAAAAGACCCAGCCGGTTCAGTCATCCTCTGGCACACAAACAGCGCAGTGATGTGATGGAAGTTTGCGGTAATACGGAGATACATTCCTCTGCAGACGTAATGAATTCAGTGTGGCTGTGTTATGGGCTTCATCTTGTCTTCATGTGAGAGATTAAAGCCTTGGCTCGGATCAACAAAAAGAACGACAAAGGAACGTCTGCATCCAGCCAACGGACGGACTTGTTCCACTTAAGCCGCGGAAATGCTGGGAAGAAAAACAAATGGATTCGAGTCAAGAATTGGGTTGAGTTGAGTATTGGTGCCAGGTGAGCTCTCGCGGGTCTTGGATAAACGGTTAATTCAACGTGTGGTCATGAAGAGCAGTGGTGCGATGGTCGCTTTCTAATTGTACATAAAATCACTCTGTTTTAAATATATTTTCACTTTTTTAACATGGACATTTTCCAGTTGTTGGCACACACCCTGAGTGATGTGTGCAAAATGGGACATATGAACTTCATTGTCAGATCCATAAAGTTTTGTCCTATCTCTTAAAGCAGCACCATGTACAAGACAATGTTACACTTGTATTGTCCTTTGTTGGCTTGCGTTTTGTAAGTTTGGCATGGAATATATCAATGGAGAATGTTCTTGTATCGTTAAAACATTTTGTCATTGAATCTCAGAATTACAGTGTTATTGGATTTCTGGATTTCACAAATTTTGCTTTGAGTTGAATGAAGTTGAAACTTGAACCAAGCCTAACAACAATTACTGAAACAACTTAACCTTCAATAATTGATGGATGGGACAATATTTTCTGGTTCAATATTTATCGTCTGGACACATCAATCAATTTCTTGTGTGATAATATATGGTTGTGGTTGAAAAGGTCATTATGGCCAAAACCACCATCAAAAAGACCGACTCCAGTTTGCCAAAGCACACAGCGATAAAGACTTGAGTTTCTGGAGAAGTACTCTGTGGTCTGATGAAACAAAAGTTGAACTGTTTGGCCATTGTTTTATTTGGAGGGAAAAGGCATGCATGCTGAAGAAAACCATCTCATCCATGAAGCATGGGGGGCAGCGTCATGCTGTGGGGGCGATTTGCTGTGGGGGGTTTGGGGTTATGGCTGCAGCACTGGGTGGCATCAAGAAAAACAAAGAATTAGGTGGATATTTTTTAAACAACTTCTCAAGACGTCAGCGTGCTGAAGCATGGGGCCTCCATTAGTTCAATGAAGCACGCTTTCAAACTTGCACAAAAACGGCTCAAGGACACAAGGTCCAGGTGGAGGAGGGACCCTCACAGTCCTGCCCTCAATCCCATTGGACATTTGTGGGCAGAGCTGAAAACGTGGGTACAGTCTAGAACAGGGGTCGGCAACCTGCGGCTCCAGAGCCGCATGCGGCTCTTGAGTGCTCCTGGAGTGGCTCCTGGAGCCTTTTCAAAAATGTCTGAAAATGGAGTGTGAGGGCTATATTTTAATTCTAGTTTGAATGTGGTTTCTGTAGAAGGAAAAACAATCTTTACGTTTTTAAATGCTGTAAAAATGTGTATAAGTAATATCTAATTTCAACATTTCTGTCAACGTAGTGCGTCATATCCTATGACGCGCGGTCACGCGGCCCCGCCCCATGCGGCCGCTGCTGTAAACAAACCGGCGTGTGTGCATCATATCAATCAATCAATCAATCAAAGTTTATTTGTAGAGCG